CGGACTAGATGATGCAGGCATTTCCCTCAAGCTTTGGTTCTGTCATCGTTAGCTTTACAATGCGATTAATTTGCCTGATTCTATTGGACATGAATGGTGCTCTAAGCTAGGATCAATGTTGTCTCAGCACTTTTTTCGCGGCTGCGTCAGTGTAAAGAACTGCGGTCAATAACCCGTGATCTTGTGAAAAGCTATGTGGCCTTCGGCAGCATAGGGGGAAAACCTTTCCGGTGGATACTGGAACCGATGCATAAGTCTCTTCTGATATTCATGCTGCATTCGAACGCGTACGCGCGGCGATCGCTCTGAGATCCACTCCTTCCTCCCACCACCGCACGAGCGCGAGTGCGCCTTACAGTACTGAGCATATAGAAGGCTATCCTGTAATTCCTCTGACAATGGTTCCTCCATATCACGCTAACGCTACACCTCTATACCGGGCCGTTTTTAAGGGTTAGCTCTTTTTGACTGACTCGAATTGGCAAATTGTTCGGTCATGTTGATAGACTATCATACACAGAAGTGTTTGTTGCTGAAGCAGATTAGGGACCAACCTATTCTTTTTCAGAATGAGGTAGTGCTACCATATTCTCCGGCATTGAACTAGATAGTTTCTGAGAGGAATCCTTATAATGATGCGATGGTATTAGACGGGCTCGTGCTTAGATTCGGGTAACGAAGAAAGTGACCAAATAAACAAATCTTCATGCTAAGGTTGTCTCAACACAGAAAGAAAGAGAGCGATTAAGGGGTTGCCAAGACGCAGTTGGGGCAATTTGTGTACCACCCCCCTAAGGCCTATGGGCAAGTGGTGTGCGTTATTTTTAAGGTGTTCACGACAGGGCCACCCCAAGGAGATTGACTGTGAGGCTATTTCCCGAGTGTGTGGAGATGCATGAAATAGAATGGTTCGAATAAGGGCTTTCACCTCAGGCTAAAGTGTTTGAGCCGCACTCAGTTAAGAATTTGCATCAGTACCAAAGCCCCGTGGCTGATGGATAAGCCAAGCATCATTTTTTCCAAAAGTTTGCATATGGTAACAGTAGGGCGTCTGACTGTACATGCTTCAGTATTGGTCTCGTTGACTATGGGGACTTAGTCTTGCTGGGATCAATTATTAAGATTTATTGTTCTCGCTTCTCCAAAAATCAATAACCCATGTTACCCCCAGCGAACTTTGCGCTCCATTAGGCCCTCTATAACGTTTAAATATGGAAATGGTTTCAAAAAGTGCTGCAAACAAGCCTCAAATTGATTTTGTTGATGGACCATCATCTCCCTCCAACCATAAAGTGCATCATCAATGATCCGATTTTGATGAGCTGACACACTGCAGGAAATTCAGCTGTTTAGCGGCACGTTTTAAAAAACGCCGCTAGGGGTCAAAAAAAACACGCCGGTTAATTCTTTTTGTGACGCTTGAGCACCAAACTCGAAGCTGCGGCCGCGCATTAACCATTGCGGCGCTTTAAAAAACGTCGTGTTAAATGTTTTATAGCGGCCGGTTTAAAAAACGCCGGTAATGTTAGAACCATATCGGTCAAAACTGACGTCATGACTGGTTTCTTTGAGCGCACGTATCTCTGTCTAAAGATACGACTCTGATCCATATTTTTGCGTAAGGCTGTTCTAGTCGTCAAGTACTTTTTCACATTCTACGTAATGCGTGGTGATAGGCGTGCTCCCATCAGTTTGTTATGCTATCCTGGTGTGCAAGAGTGCGGTGTCTTTGGGACAACTCCTCACATGGCGCTTTCGCGAACACAGCCTCTACTGATCTACCTGAATCGACTACTGTGAATAATTCGGACACAGGCGAGGCTGGTCCTCATTTCTTAATCTCACGAGACCGGCGCGAATTATTCTCAAAGCCAATAGCAACCAAATAGCTCACTCTCTGCCGTATATTTTTGTGATTTTTTTTCTGAGCATCAATATATCTTCGTCTCAGTCTGCTAATTCTATGTGGTTTGATTGTGCAATGAGACTCCTATTGTTGTAATTGAGCGACTCGCATCCACACCCCGTGCGTTCGATAACAACAAAGTTAAATGCAAACGAAACCCTGCCGGATGACGCTAGCATGGACATATTCGGCCCTATGGAATAAAATTAAAAAAATGAAGTACTAATATGAGTCCTAAATTCTCGTTCCCATTCAAGTTGAGAACATTTGTCAAAAAGATAAACCAATTATATGAAAAGCGTGCCAAGTAGCAAACTACAACATTAATTCACTTCCCATAATTTAATATACAATTACCGATTACCATTAACTACAAAATAACATATTCACAAAATCACAAATTATGTTTAACATTCGCCAAAAAATAACAGGAAAAACAATTAAGACAAAACCCCATGAGTTTTGATTTTTAATTTAATTGTCTTGTCCTTGATACTCCAATTCACTGAACCCAGTTGAATATAGCATAGAATCTGTAATCTTCACTGTCTGCGATTCCTGCATCAAAAATATGGCAAGCCAAATTTAGGTAAAGTGCATAAATCGAATAATGGTTTAGAAGTGTTACAGCTATAAAAACATAAGATGTAACTTACAACTCTACCCATTCTGTTGAAGAAGTTTGTACCATGCGAAGAACAATTTAAATAAATTAGTCATTTCTGAGGCTTTGAAAATTGCAGAAAAAGTCAGGAAAAAAAAATATTTTACATGCTTCTATCAGATAGTAATAAGTTATTAATAATGTGACTTCACAAACAGAATCTGTAATCTCACGGTCTTAGACTACCAAGTGACTAGTAAACAAAACAAAGCTTAAGCTTTTACTCATTAGCTGTTAGGTAGCAACAATGAAGAAACCTCATTTGTAATAGTCTAACCCCTATCTTAAAAAAATCTAAAAAACTAAAAAAAACTTAGTATTCCTCAATTATCAAACACATCTGTTTAGTAGAAAATATGTGGGGGAACATGGACACAGTTGTTTTCCAATCATGCGTCCAAAACCATATGATTTGACAGATGCTTGAAACAATCAATTTGAATCCTAATGTTTAGAATCCAGAAAATTCATTATTCAGAGACCATCAAGTTGTGTGATGAACCAAAAGATTCACAAACTTAAACTCCTAAAAATTAGACTAGAAACCATTTTGGCAATCTCTAGTTCCACAAAGCCAGATTTTGACTCTACTAGTACTTCTCTTTCCAAATACATGTCTAAACCAAATAAAATAACTACCTGTCATCAATAGATTGACAAAATTTGCATCAAACCATAATAGAGTTGACACTCTGCAATAACAAAATGGGTTCGTCGAAACATAGTTCAATCTTAAGGACGCTTTGCAATTTAAATCAGGAAATTGATTTAATTTTCAATATCAGGATGATCTGAACTAGTTTTATAGTGGGCAAAGAAGTTAAAACAGAAAAGATCAGTCATTTCACATCTCAAATAGAAGCTTCTGAAAGTTTACCAAGTACACTAAACAACCACTAGAGATGGCAACTCTTGCAAAGACAAACTGCAGCATACTTCATTGCCATAGAAAAATTTAGTTGTGATTCTGTCGTCTAACAAATTGAGATTTTCAGTAAAAATTGACAACCTTCCTCACATACTAGCAACAAATGTTGCTGGTAATTGAAAACATGCCCTTAAATATGCAGTTGCGTATAACCAAAAATGAAATTAATAAATAATTTCCTGTTAATCCACACATTCATTATTCCACATTATGGCCATTTACCTCACAAAACTCTGTCGAGGCCCTGATGACCTCAAATTTTCGAACTCAAAATTGCAATACCCCAAGTTCGCCAAATTCTTCACAGTTCCCTAAAATAAATATCAAAAAAAACGAGTCAGTCTATAGTGTGTGAAAGTAGAGAGGCGAGTGAGAGTGAAAGAATGAGACTTGGCTCAATTTCTTCTGAAGTAATCTACAATTCAGTAACCATAGCCAGATATAGTAAAAAAAAAAGACTTCAACCGTGTTTAGTTTGCATTGTTTAGTAATCTAATATAATATGAAAGGCAGTTAGATGGGAAAGCATGCGAATAAGCGAATAACGAGGTGATGGCACCGATTACCATTAGAAGTTATGACAGAACTCTCGAGTGTGGTTGTTGTGAGTAATTGGTTTCAAGGCATTTTAACTTCTTTGCCCCTATAAAAAACTAGTTCTCCTCCACCACCAATCCACACTCCAAACAAATTGTCTAACTTTTAAATGGAATCTCACAGAAATGAAAAGCTGCTGCCATAGTAAAGACTGGAAGGTGTGTTAGAGTTCAGATTGTATACTACCTGGAAACCAATTGGGTTCTACTGGGCTTTGCTGAGCAGCAAGAACTTCAACAAAATTGCTAAGTACAGAATCAGATCCTCAAGTTGTGAAATTTCCTTAAAACTCCAAGACTTTTTAATAATGGCCATGCGAGGAACTCCAGCTCTAAAAAGCATTATCTGAAATGGTAAGTACACAACATTGATTTCCCGAATGAGAGGATGTAAACAAGAAAATCAAAGTGATCGCTCTGCTCTTATATATCAAATGGTGGACAACAGCCTCCCGTGTTGCCACAAATGACTGGTTTACATTAAACACAGGAAGAATTTAACCAAGAATGCACAGCCAATGCAGTATGTAACACGAATTTGAATAAGGATAGAATTCAAGCATCAATCTAAAATTCACATGTAAGGATAGAATACCCGGGTTCTGGAAACATATACAAGGCCACAGTGGAAACGAAAAATTTCTCGCCTGTCACCAAAAACAGGAAAACAAGCTTAAGACATATTTACAACATAAGCAGAGAAGTTATCTTAACAGCAGATAAGCTACAAACTAAAAAACACTCACTGGTATCCAACCGAAATTAAATAAAACATAATTATATTTTTTTTACATTAGAAATCCAGACTGACTGAGTACAAGTCGTGCTGCTATTCAAGTCGAAAATAAGCTTGGAGCTGACTAATGTGACAAGCACCGATTGTTCAAAGCTAAAGTAAGCACTGACAAATCCAATATACATTACACAATCCAAATCTGCTGCATTAGCTTTACATCAAGTATACATGTCACTTGAAATTCACAATATGTATATAAGTTGCAGTATACAGATTCTACAGTCCAATTTGATGAGATATGGTACCTTTTTTCTTTTTCTTTTTTAATTTTCCTCATTTTGGGTTGCCATTTTTCAAAAACAGTTGCTTATCAACATTGGTCCTACCAATAAATCCACATTTTACGACAGTAACTTCATGAATGTACACTTTCGAAGTTTCACTGGATGAAGTAGTTGGACCATGGAAGTTGGGCTCTTATCTCATTAAGGTTTCTGTTGAGGTTACGCAGCGCTTGAATGTGAGGCTCGTCCTCCTCTACTGGTATAATTTTAGCAAATGTTCCTTCTTCTAGATAGTCCACCACCCTATTGGCAGCTTCAAGTCCCGTGACAAACGATTTCTCCTGATAAAAAAGAACAGAAGTGCATATGCTTGTGAAAAAGCTATCAATCGAAATGTTTACAAGAGCAAAGTTTTGAAAGAAGAGTTCAAGGGTTTCTACCTGTGACCACGAACCATGTCGTGTTATTATCCAGTCCCCAGCCATGAATAAATTTGGAAATGATGTAGATCCACGCATCATATACTTGTACGAACCTTTAAAATAAATAAATAAACTGAGAAAGCAACATCAATAAAGAAGTATTTACTAGCATGGATAGTATATACACTACATTTTTTATTTTCCAGAAGAAGGTAAATCATGGTTGGCTCATCTAATTGCACAGATATTCCTGAGATAATGTACCTAAATAGTTTGGATTTTCACTTTATATGACCGGTGTTATTGTCTGAAACTCCTATACACAAGCATATTTTTGTCCAAACAAAATGGAAAAATCGAATAGAAATAACAAGGAATTAAGAGAGCTACCTGGGAAAAAATGAGTCAGGGATTTTGGAAATCTTCCAATTTCTTTATCGATCACCGCCACGTTCTCAAAGTCCTTGATGCACTTTGATAGGTAAGACATTGCTTTTGCAACCACATCCTCATCCTTCAGTGGCAACAACTCAGTAGCGTGAAACTGTACTAACAAAATATAATAAGAGAAACAAATATTACAACTAATTTACTTAAATATCCTGTTTGCTACAGAGAATAGTAGATGTCATACTCACCAAGTCAGCTTGCACGACTGTAATATTTTTTTTTTTGTACTCAGTCAGTCTGGATTTCTAATTTACATACAAAAGCAATGATAAAGATAAAAATTCAGATAAGTGTAACACTTGTTAGCATACAAAAGCAACTTGAGGTTAAATCCTCAAATCTTGGGCCTTCAAGTTTAACAGAGGTCATGTAACGATTTTAGTAAAGAAAAATTAATAACATTTGTAGCAGAAAGTCCAAGCCATCCAGCAAATCTAACTATTAAATTCAAATATTTGAGTGGGAAAGTTCATGGTCACGATGAACTTTTGACTCTGTTCTAGTTATTGCTGTCAATGACCAGAAGTTCAATAACCAATTTAGTCTTCTCTATACTCAGAAATGCCGCTCAACTCAACTATCCCAATTTTTTGGTAATGCTTTTATATGCTTGGGCAATCAAAATATCTATCAACGATTCAACATTTCATTTTTTTTTGGCGCATTAAAGCAGCCATTTTTTACATCTGTTAATGAGGAACAAACATACTTTCTTATTTAATTTTCTTTCAATTTACAACAATTTCTTACATTAATTATATAAATTCAGCAAAAGGGTAGTGTACAAACCGGAATTTTAGCTGCAATGGGGCAGTTTTTATAGGAATTTTCACAGCAAACATTTGTGACATCCTTAAGCACTGCCCTCCTCTTATGCTGAACAGGTGCAGCAGCAGAAGCACTGCTATTCATCTCATCTAAAGCTGCTCTTTTTGAACTTGTCCGTAAAACTTGCTTTTGACCTTGCTGCTTCAGTGCTTCTGAAGGTGGAATCCCTCCAAATGCATGACAAGCAGCAGCTCGAGCTCGTGTCATTCTAACAGTAGGCTCCCCAACATTAGCAATAGCAAGATTTTCTTCCTTCATGTTTACTGGCCTTAGAGAAGAGCAAGGCAAGGGTTTCTAAATTCAGATAAGACTCATGAAACCTGCAACAAAATGCATATTGGGACAAAGTGAAATAAAGGACAAGCTGCTGAAGTGAGAAGGGGCTCCAGAATAGGGAACTCACAGGCTGCTAAAGAAATATCGTAAGCGAGTAAAAGTACAAAATAAAGCATAACAACCTAGAGCATCTAATTTTCCAGATAATCAAAGTAATGTTTGTCTTTAAAGACATCAAAACAGATGCACAACCATGTACAACTGGTGTATAAAAAGCTACACACTGCTAGGGAGGTAAAGAAATGGTTCCAGAAAAGACTCTGAATCTAATAGAATGAAATAAAAGGTAAATATCTTAAATTCAAAAATCAAGAGTGAAATAAAGCCATTAGAATCCAGTGCTGGAAAATATTGTTTTCAGCTCCTGAAACTGCTAAACATTGTAATTTGATGATTCTAAATGAAAATGATGATCTCCAATCAGTGATTTGCATAAAACACTGATATTTTCTACTTTGGATCTCCAGGTGTGGTGGAGTTCCATCTAGCAGCTACCTACGTATCCACAAACCAAATGCAAAGACAGAGACAAAATTCAATATATTCAAATAATAGATGGAATGGCTTTTTAGCTTAAAAAAATAAAATACTTTGGAGCAAAACTTGCAATTATAGGAATCACTTCAAGTTCATTATAGGAATCACTTGACGAATACACCATTCAGCCACTTTTTTGACATTGTGGCATGTTTCTATCCCTTATTGCCTACCTAAGATTCTAAGAAGCATGAACACAGACAAGTGATATGACACGAACATGCCAATACAACAATTTTCAAAAAATATAGGACATGACACATGAAGGACACACATAAAATATATAATTTTGTATATATTTATTATATGCTATATATATGAATATATCATTCAAAGATAATTAAAAAAAAAATGAGAGAGACGTGTCGAAGTAATCGTTGCACATGAAACATGACAATAACTTACCAACCAACCAGCAATCCCAGGAAGTTCTGTAACACGAGTGAAAATAGGTTTCACTGTCATCTGAAAATATGCTATATATATGAATATATCTTCTATTTTTCTTCATGAATGAAGTCTTAAAAGGGCTATGATGCAGCATCACAACTTGCTACAAATTTCTCATCATCAAACAAATCTATTAGTTGAAGACAAGCACTCTAATAAAACATCAAACGGCTGAAATAATCAAATTTAATAAACTATTAAGTGAAACCCTCACTTCAGTGAATTACAATCCGTTGTTTTAAACAAACATAGCTAGTTTTTGAACTTGGCCGAACTCATTTGATACATAATTCAACATATAATCCATATGAATATATAAAAGGTTACAGAGTTTCTTATTGAGATCTATTTAAAACAAAAATTGTCAATCTATTCATATATATGTATGTATGTATTTTGTGT